GGGCCGGGCTGCCCCCTCGCTGCAGTCGGTCCCGTCGGCCAGCTCACCCGCAGGCCGAGATCCGGGAGGTGCTGCGCTCCCGCCAGCAGCTGTTCTCCGACAAGCCGGGTCTCACCAGCCTGGCTGCCCACCGGGTGCAGACGGGCACCCACCCCCCGTGCGCTGCTCCCCGTTAAGGGTCAGGGGAAGACGGGCCAGGGCTGGAGAGAGGGGGCCGGGACATGCTGGCGCAAGGGGTGATCCAGCCGCCCTCCAGCCCCTGGGCCTCTCGGGTGGTGCTGGTCCCCAAGGACGGGTCGAGCTGGTTCTTCAGGGACTACCGGAAGCTCAGCGCCACCCCCGTGTCCGACAGCTCCCCCATGCCGAGGCCCCACAAGCTCCTGGAGAAGCTGGGAGGAGTTCGCTGCCTCACCACGCCGGACCCCCCTGCTGGCCGCTGGCCCCGAGCGCTGGCCACGGGGGAAGTTCAGGGCCCCCCCGGGCAGGAACTGCAGCTCTCAGACAGGTGCCTGTGGGTGCTCCACGGGCGCTTGAGCAGCGCTACTGGGAGAGCCGTGTGCTGGGGGGCAGCCCCTTCCCTTTGGGATGCCGCCGCGCCCTGTGAACACCCAGTGGGCAGAGCTCGTTACTGCGCAGGTGAGGCACTCGTCCTGCAGCGCTGCCCCGGGGCGACTGGAGCCAGTGTGCTGCGTGGAGCCAGGCACTTTCCAGGAGACCATGGTGCCAGTGTGCTGCTGCGTGGTGCCAGTATGCTGTGTGCTGGGGGGCAGCCCCTTCCCTTTGGGATGCCGCCGCGCCCTGTGAACACCCAGTGGGCAGAGCTCGTTACTGCGCAGGTGAGGCACTCGTCCTGCAGCGCTGCCCCGGGGCGACTGGAGCCAGTGTGCTGCGTGGAGCCAGGCACTTTCCAGGAGACCATGGTGCCAGTGTGCTGCTGCGTGGTGCCAGTATGCTGCGTGGTGCCAGTATGCTGCGTGGAGCCAGTGTGCTGGGTGGCACCAGTGTGCTGGGTGGTGCCAGTGTGCTGTGTGGCGCTAGTGTTCTGCGTGGCGCCGGGCGCTTTCCAGGAGACCGTGGCGCCAGTGTGCTGCGTGGCGCCGAGCGCTTTCCAGGAGACCGTGGCGCCAGTGTGCTGCGTGGCGCCGAGCGCTTTCCAGGAGACCGTGGCGCCAGTGTGCTGCGTGGCGCCGAGCGCTTTCCAGGAGACCGTGGCGCCAGTGTGCTGCGTGGCGCCGAGCGCTTTCCAGGAGACCGTGGCGCCAGTGTGCTGCGTGGCGCCGAGCGCTTTCCAGGAGACCGTGGCGCCAGTGTGCTGCGTGGCGCCGAGCGCTTTCCAGGAGACCGTGGCGCCAGTGTGCTGCGTGGCGCCGAGCGCTTTCCAGGAGACCGTGGCGCCAGTGTGCTGCGTGGCGCCGAGCGCTTTCCAGGAGACCGTGGCGCCAGTGTGCTGCGTGGCGCCGAGCGCTTTCCAGGAGACCGTGGCGCCAGTGTGCTGCGTGGCGCCGAGCGCTTTCCAGGAGACCGTGGCGCCAGTGTGCTGCGTGGCGCCGAGCGCTTTCCAGGAGACCGTGGCGCCAGTGTGCTGCGTGGCGCCGAGCGCTTTCCAGGAGACCGTGGCGCCAGTGTGCTGCGTGGCGCCGAGCGCTTTCCAGGAGACCGTGGCGCCAGTGTGCTGCGTGGCGCCGAGCGCTTTCCAGGAGACCGTGGCGCCAGTGTGCTGCGTGGCGCCGAGCGCTTTCCAGGAGACCGTGGCGCCAGTGTGCTGCGTGGCGCCGAGCGCTTTCCAGGAGACCGTGGCGCCAGTGTGCTGCGTGGCGCCGAGCGCTTTCCAGGAGACCGTGGCGCCAGTGTGCTGCGTGGCGCCGAGCGCTTTCCAGGAGACCGTGGCGCCAGTGTGCTGCGTGGCGCCGAGCGCTTTCCAGGAGACCGTGGCGCCAGTGTGCTGCGTGGCGCCGAGCGCTTTCCAGGAGACCGTGGCGCCAGTGTGCTGCGTGGCGCCGAGCGCTTTCCAGGAGACCGTGGCGCCAGTGTGCTGCGTGGCGCCGAGCGCTTTCCAGGAGACCGTGGCGCCAGTGTGCTGCGTGGCGCCGAGCGCTTTCCAGGAGACCGTGGCGCCAGTGTGCTGCGTGGCGCCGAGCGCTTTCCAGGAGACCGTGGCGCCAGTGTGCTGCGTGGCGCCGAGCGCTTTCCAGGAGACCGTGGCGCCAGTGTGCTGCGTGGCGCCGAGCGCTTTCCAGGAGACCGTGGCGCCAGTGTGCTGCGTGGCGCCGAGCGCTTTCCAGGAGACCGTGGCGCCAGTGTGCTGCGTGGCGCCGAGCGCTTTCCAGGAGACCGTGGCGCCAGTGTGCTGCGTGGCGCCGAGCGCTTTCCAGGAGACCGTGGTGCCAGTGTGCTGCGTGGCGCCGAGCACTTTGCAGGGAATCCCGGTGAGCGCATGAGCCAGCCGAAGCAGGATCAGCACATGCGCGAGGGGGAAGGCGCCAGGCTGCGGGAATGCTGGGACCCAGCCCCACTGGGTGCCTCACTGCATCGCCCTTGCGCCGGGCGCCCCTACGCTGGCCGGGCTCCATGGGAATAGGGGGTAGGGGGGGAGCCCTGGAGCCACACGCCAGCGCAACGCGGGGCAGGCAGGCGACACGGAGCCAGGGGAGGCTGCCCACCGGCAGGACTGGGAACACCCGGCTTAACGCGCTTGATCTTCAATGGGGTGATGAGCAAACATCTGGGGGCTGCTGGCCCGTCCTGCCCCCATCTTCCCAGGGCCATCCTCACCGGTCCCATCCAGCTGTGTGCGGCCAACCTGGCGGCAGGCGCTGGGGCCACGGAGCGCAGGAGTCGGGGCTGGGGGGGAGGGGCAGGAGACTGGGGACGTGAGGGTCTGAGTGACTAAGGGCAGATGGTTCAGGTGCATGATGGGCCCAGGGGGGGCGTGTGCAGGAGTCTGGGGGTTGGTCCGAACTCACACGTCCCGGCACGCACTTTCACAACAGCTGTTGAGCGGATTAACGCGCCGGCGAGATCGTGCTAATGAAGCGCGGGATATTTAAATACCCGCTCCATTAGCGATTTCAGTCGCCTACCTTTGCATCCCTAGTTCGAACTAGGCAGCGAGTGTAGACGTCCTCTAAGAGATCAGTAAGGCAGGATTTCCCTTTACAGAAACCATGTTGACTTTTGCCCAACAAATTCTGTTCTTCTACGTGCCTGACAATTTTAGTCTTTACTATTGTTTCGACTGATTTGCCCGGTACTGAGGTTAGACATAACGGTCTGTAATTGCCAGTCGCCTCTAGTGTCTTTTTTAAATATTGGTGTCACATTGGCCCCCTTCCAGTCAGTGGGTACAGAAGCTGATTTAAAGGATAAGTTAAAACTACAGTTAACAGTTCCACAATTTCCCATTTGAGTTCGTTCTGAACTCTTGGGTGATGCTGTCTGGTCCCGATGATTTGTTACTGTTCAGTTTATTAATTAGTTCCAAAACCTCCTCTAATGACACTTCAAGCTGTGACAAGTCCTCAGATTTGCCACCTACAAAAGACGGGGCAGGTTTGGGAATCTCCCCAACATCCTCAGCCGTGAAGACTGAAGCAAAGAATTCATTGAGTTTCTCTGCAATGACTTTATCGTCTTTAAGTGTCCTTTTGTATCTCGATCATCCAGGCCCGCCCCCCCGGTTGCTTAGCAGGCTTCCTGCTTCTGAGATGTACTGAAACATTTTGTTATTACCTTTGGAGGTTTTGGAGAGCTGTTCTTCAAACGCCTTTTTGGCTTTTCTTATTACATGTTTGCACTTGATTTGACAGTGTTTCTGCTCCTTTCTATTTATCTCACTAGGATTGGACTTCCACTTCTTAAAAGATACCTTTTTGTTCTTTTGCATGGTTAAGCCACGGTGGCTCTTTTTTAATTCTTCTACTGTTTTTCAATTTGGGGTTTACATTTCAGTTGGGCCTCTATTATGGTGCCTTTGAAAAGTTTCCATGCAGCTTGCAGGGATTTTACTCTAGTCACTGCACCTTTTAATTTCTGTTTAACTAGTCTCCTCATTTTTGCATAATTCCCCTTTCTGAAATGAAATGCCAGGGTGCTGGCTGCTGAGGTGTTCTTCCCACCACAGCAATGTTCAATGTTGTTATATTCCGGTCACTATTCCCAAGCGGTCCTGTTATAGTTACCTCCTGGACCAGATCCTGCACCCCACTCAGGATGAAATCGAGAATTGCCTCTCCCCTTGTGGGTTTCAGAACCAGCTGCTCCAAGAAGCAGTCACTTAAGGTGTCAAGAAATTTTGTGTCTGCATCTCGTCCTGAAGTGACATGTCCCCAGTCAATATGGGGATAGTTGAAAACCCCCAGTATTTTTGAGTCCTTTATTTTGACAGCCTCTCTAATCTCCCTTGGCATTTCATAGTCACTATCACTGTCCTGGTCAGGTAACAGATCCCTACTGTTATATACTTATTGGAGCAGGGAATTACTATCCACAGCGATTCTATGGAACATGTTGATTCACTTAAGAGTTTACTTCATTTGATTCTACATTTTCTTTCACATACAGTGCTACTCCCCCGTGACCTGTTCTGTCCTTCCGATATATTTTGTACCCCGGAATGATTGTCCCCCATTGATTGTCCTCACTCCACCAGGTTTCTGTGATGCCTGTTATATCAGTATCCTCCTTTAACACGAGGCACTCCAGTTCACCCATCTTATTTTTTTAGACTTCTAGCATTTGTGTATAAGCACTTTAAAAACGTGTCACTGTTTGGTTGTCTGCCCTTTTCAGATGTATCGGACTCTTTTTCATGTGAATGTTTTTCATCTGATCTGGCCCATACTTTATCCTCTTCCATCCTCTCCTCCTGACTAAAACCTAGAGAATCTCTATCTATAGACTTTCCTCTAAGGGTACGTCTGGACTACATGCCTCTGTTGCCAGAGGCATGTAGATGAGGCTACCAGACATAGGAAAATGAAGCGGCGATTTAAATAATCGCCGCTTCATTTAAATTTACATGGCTGCTGTGCTGAGCCAACAAACAGCTGATCAGCTGTTTGTCGGCTCAGCGCGCTAGTCTGGATGCTCCCGCGCCAACCTGAAAGCCCTTTATCGACCACCCTGTTATGACTCATAGGATGTTCTAATGTAAGAAATCAGGGCTTCTCGCGCGTGTGTCTAAACTACACGGCTCCGTCGACAGAGCCATGTAGATTAAGCAGGACGACAAAGGGAAATGAAGGGGCGATTTAAATAATTGCTGCTTCATTTAAATTTACATGGCTGCTGCGCTGAGCTGATCAGCTGTTTGTCGGCTCAGCGCGGAGCCATGTAAATTTAAATGAAGCGGCGATTATTTAAATCGCCGCTTCATTTTCCTATGTCTGGTAGCCTAATCTACATGCCTCTGGCGATAGAGGCATGTAGTCTAGACGTACCCTTAGAGACGTCTCTGTCCGATCCACATGCTCCTCCGCACCAATCGGCTTTCCCCCGTCTTAGTTTAAAAACTGCTCTGTGACCTTTTTAATGTTTAGTGCCAACAGTCTGGATCCACTCTGGTTTAGGTGGAGCCCATCCTTCCTGTATAGGCTCCCCCATCCCAGAAGTTTCCTCAGTTCCTTATAAAGCTAAACCCCTCCTCCCTACACCATCGTCTCATCCCCGCATTGAGACTCTGAAGCTCTGCCTGCCGACCTGGCCCTGTGCGCGGAACTGGAAGCGTTTCCGAGAACGCCACCAGAGGTCCTGGATTCAGTCTCTTTCCTAGCAACCTAAATTTGGTCTCCAGGACGTCTCTGCTACCCTTCCCTATGTCATTGGTACCTACATGTACCACGACCACCGGCTCCTCCCCAGCACTACACATAAGTCTATCTAGAAGCCTCCAGAGATCGGCAACCTTCGCACCAGGCAGGCAAGTGACCATACGGTTCTCCCGGTCATCACAAACCCAACTATCTATGTGTCTAACGATCAAATCACCCACTACTAACACCTGCCCCTTCCTACTGACTGGAGTCCCCTCCCCCGGAGAGGTAACCTCAGTGCAAGAGGATCCCCCAACATCTGGAAGGAGGGTCCCGACTACGGGAAGGTTTCCCTCTGCTCCTGTTGACTGCTCTCCCCTGAGCCTTTCACCCTCAAGAGCGCAGGGGCTGTCTGACCGGAGGAGGGACAAGACTACATTGCCCCGGAAAGCCTCATCTACGCACCCCTTGGCCTCCCTCCTCTCCTCCAAGCCCATACATGGTCTGAGGGCCAGGAGCTCCTTGCACCGGGTGCACACACACGCCCCCACCCACAGGGCAGGAATCTCACATGCTACAGCGAGTGCAATGAACGGGAGACTCCCCCTCTGCTGTGGAAATGCAGTCGCCTGGGCCGCACGAGCTCTGCTTTCGCCCGCCTGAGACCCAGGGTCTTTGGGAACGGACGCCAGTGCCCAGACAAAGCTCCGTGTGTGCCGTGCAGTGGCTGTTCCAACACCGCTGCATGCCTGTGAAACCGGGACACGTAAGCGTCACCTGAACAATTTCATCAACGCTGCGTCAGGAGAATCCCAACTGGCCGGGAGGACGGCGCACGAGCACTCGCGGCTGGGCGGGGCGAATATGGCCAGCACTGGCCTGGCCACGGGTCCGGACGCCTGATCGGCGCCTCCCGAAGCAGGCTGTTCCAAGCGGAAGGAGGGACGGGGCTGCGCTGGGGGCCAGAGGGAGCGGTTTAAGGACATGTTGAAGGCAAACATGGAGAAGCGCAGCCTCAGTGTTGCCACATGGGAGCACCTGGCCCAAGAGCGTCCCCAGTGCAGAGCGGTAATCCAGGCGGGGGCAGCGCGAGTGGAGAGGCCCCGGCGCAGCACAGACAAGGAGAGGAGAAAAGAACCGTCAAAACCTCCCTGCGTCCCTCCAGCAGCCCCCAGCACCTGCCCCCTGCAGTAAGACCGGCAGCTCCAGAACCGGGCAGGTCAGCCCCTACGGATCCACAAAGAGGGCGACAGGAAAACGCCCTCCGGAGCGAGCGACTGCCGAGCTAGTGCCCTGGTTGTTGGCTGAAAGGTAAGGGAGGGGCTGCGAGTGACCTTCTCTGGTTTAGTTGCTGGGACTTTCATGTGTGGAGGGAGGCACCGGAGCACGTCTCAGCCGGGCCTGGACTGCTCTCCGGAAGGGAGCCCCAATGCACGTCGCACGAGGGCCGCCGGGCGGGGACCTTGCATGGTGTGTGCCGCGTCTGGAGGGGCCTGGAGAGCGGCTGAAAGGTAAGGGAGGGGCTGCGAGTGACCTTCTCTGGTTTAGTTGCTGGGACTTTCATGTGTGGAGGGAGGCACCGGAGCACGTCTCAGCCGGGCCTGGACTGCTCTCCGGAAGGGAGCCCCAATGCACGTCGCACGAGGGCCGCCGGGCGGGGACCTTGCATGGTGTGTGCCGCGTCTGGAGGGGCCTGGAGAGCCGTTCTGGAGATCAGCGCCCCTTGCTAAGGCTCCGTTTCCGCTGTTCTCTTTTGCTGCCAGGAGATGCTCCGAGGACGCCCAATGCACCGCACGAGGGCCGCCGGGCGGGGACCTTGCATGGTGTGTG